GGAAGAAGGAGGGAGGGGAAAAAAGGGAAAGAAAAATGAGGGAGTGAGGAAGGAAGAAGGAAGGAAGAGGGAGGGAGGGAGGAAGGGACGGAGGGAAGGAAAGGAAAAGAAGAGAAAGAGGGAGGGAGGAGGGAAGGAAGAGGGAGGGAGGGATTTCTCCCTAATTTCTCCCTTTTTGACCAATTATCCCCAAAAGCAGCTTGGTCTCACCTCTAAACTTGCTTGAAAGGCGCTGCTCATGATTTGATCGTGGGGACCAGATCGATACAGCAAAATCAAGTGAATGTAGAAAAACGAGAGGTAGAGAGCGACGGGAAGGACCAGGAGAGCTAAACCCCGGGCCAAGAAATGCCCCAGCAGGGAGATCTACAAGGGAAAAGGAAGAATGGTTCACGTTTGCTTCTAAAAGCTAAAGACTGATGCCCAGGGAAGTGTCTGGCTCTACATTCTTTCTTTCTTTCTTTCTTTCTTTCTTTCTTTCTTTCTTTCTTTCTTTCTTTCTTTCTTTCTTTCTTTCTTTCTTCTTTCTTTCTTTCTTTCTTTCTTTCTTTCTTCTCTCTCTCTCTCTCTCTCTCTCTCTCTCTCTTTCTTTCTTTCTATCAATTAATCAATCAACCAGACACTATCTTTCTATCGAATTTACATGGTAATCAATCTCACACAAGGTGACTCTAGGCAGCATACTGAAAAACATGAATTATTTCCAAATAGATACTTTATTAGAGAGACATGTATTCCTGATCATTTCATGTTATGTTTAATTCATTTAGCCATTATAAAGGTTTAGGGTTTTTCCCCCACTAAAAATGAAATCTATCAACCAGCCTTTTTGTCTTCTATCATCCATCTCTCTCTCTTTCCCTCCCCCACCCCTCGGTCATCTATCTATCTATCTATCTATCTATCTATCTATCTATCTATCTATCTATCTATCTATCTATCTATCTATCTATTATCCAGCTATCCATTCCATCTATCTCATCTATCATCTATTCATTCATTCATTCATTCATTCATTCATTCATTCATTCATTCATTCATTCATCCAGTCTATCTATCTATCTATCTATCTATCTATCTATCTATCTATCTATCTATCATCTATCTATCTATCTATCTCTATCATTTATGGATATGACGGCTCTATGTTAGGGAGCCTTACATCTAACTTATCAATACTCCCAATTTTACCATCAAACAGGTATGAAAAAACACATTTCTTGCAACCTTGACTATTCCAAGAAAAACGGCTGTGTCAAACGAAAACCCATGGATTCTGAATTCCAAAGTTCTCCAAGAAGTCCTGGAGATCAACTCCCACCCTCTCAGAGCGACCGCATCCTATTTCACCCTCCGACTTACGTTGGGCAGGGAGCGATCGCCAAGCAGCTGCCAGGAATGGATGCCCGCCAGGCACAGAATGAGCAGGTAAGTGAAGAGGCCCATGTATTTCACCCTGCAAAGCAAGCATGAAATGCCACCTTTTAAGGGTTTAAGATAAGGGTTATAAGGGTTTAAGGTAAGGAGGAAAACACTAGACAACCCATGATGGGCCCAGAAGGGAGAGGGGAGACCGCCAGAAGATCTAAGACAGGAGTGTCCAACCCTTAGGAACTTGTAAGACTTGTGGACTTCAACTCCCAGAGTTCCTCAGCCAGCAAGGGGAATTCTGGGAGTTGAAGTCCACAAGTCTTAAAGACACAGTTGGGCATGGCTAAGACGTTTTATGAACAAGGCAGTTATCAAATATCTTAGCAGACCACCAAGAGATAAGCTTACCCAACTGCACAGGAACAGGAGATCCCTGTTAGTAACAGCCAAAGCCACCATCTTGCAGAAAAAGGGCTTTTAAAAAAGGAGAAAAAAACATATTTACTCACAGGCCAGCCTTATAACATATCAGACAAATAAATCGCTGTCCAGGCTCTTGAAAACTTCCAGTGTTGGAGTATTTACAACTTTTGGAAACAAGTTGTTCCACTGGTTAATTGTTCTCACTGTCATGAAATTTCTCCTTAATATTGGATCACTTAACAACTAACTGTCTTGTTTAGCAACAGAAATGTTGGGCTAAATTCTGGTCGTGAGTCGAGGATTAACCTGTATATTATGTACTACCCCCAAAAAAATGCACAGAAACTTTTTAAGTCCAGTTTTGTTGTAGAATCCATCCCTTGCTGGTTTGGGCTAAGCCTTAAGCCACCATTTATAAACCATGTTAATGTGAGTCCCGCATCCCCTTAGCGTAAATGCGTAAGACATTGCTTGGCCTGCTTTGGGGAGCTTTATGTTTCACTACCAACAAAGGTGGGACATGAAAGAAACCTTTCACCTTTCTTTCTGCAAGTTGTGAAACTTCAGATAAGATAAAACTGCCAACAGGATGAAGAAAATTAAAATAGACTCCAGCAGCATCAGCCTGGATTGAGTAATTAGTGAGTTTTCTGTTAAGACACAAAAGGAGAAATGAGAATTGGGGTTTTTTCCCCCTTATACTGGTCCTTCTATGAGCTTTTTACAAGTCCCACAATTCTGGAAATTGAAGTCCACAAGTCGTAAAGTGGCCAAGATTGGAGATCCCAGGTACAGCAAACAATGTAAAAATACAGATTTTTGCAATCAACCAACAGGGACCGAAACAGGCTATGTTTTTAAAAAACTGGGCGGGGGTGGGGTGGGGGGGGAATGTCCCAGCTTCTAAAAACCCTTTTAACCAAACATACAGCTTTTTTTTTTTTTGCTACAATTCTTCAAACGTCCTAATCTCAGTGCCTAACTTTTATTTTATTATACAAAGTAATAAAATGCCTGTGGGGGGGGGGGGGGGGGGGGGAGACAGAATAATCTTGCAAAAAGGTTGCTCTGTCTTAGATAACGAGAGGATTAAACACGGCTTGAGGGAAACAAACCGAATAGTGAAATCTCTTGGGAAGTATTCCGTCTGAACAAAGATGGCACCAACGGAGAATGGAAAAAGAACGAGATCTTATTTACCGAATAAAATCAGGACCGCAGCACCCAGGCCAACGAAATGGGTGAAATGTAGCTCAACCAGTATTTGGTATGCCAAGGGAACGCATAAGCCACCAGCTATGGCTGGTAGCAGCCGCAAAGCCCAAATGGGCACATTGGAGTTGTACTCTAGGATATAATAAAGAGAAAGATCAGTACCAATCTATGCGTCAATTACAGGTGGTTTACCTGCACCTCTTGTCTACTGCACCTTTCTTATTTACCTGTCCCTCCATTTTAGCTGGCTTTTCTACATCTCTCATCAATCCTTAGGAATAATACAAGACCAAAGATTTATATAAAATGCAAGCATCACAGCTACCTTTATTATTATTTTTTCCCATTCTAGCTTTTTTTCCCAGTTGAACAGATGGCCATGCCCTTATCAATAATTAGCTTGGAGGGTGAATCAAAAAGCACCTTTACCTGCTCCTATTCTGTTCCACAAGAAATTTCCATCAAATCCCCCTAAATAACCTGAAAAGGAAGGGAAAAAGAAAAAATAAATTTCCCAGATCGCAGGACCTAAACTTAAATTAAAGGTGTATGCTGGCTAAACATCTGGGTGTATCCATATGGTGTTGTTTTTTTCAGCAATACACAGATTTTTTTCCCCCAGTTTCTCCATCTAGATTCTACATACATCTTGTAAATTTTTGCAAACACAATAATCAGTTCAACTCTTTGTGAACTGACATATAGTCTAGATGTTCCTCGGCCATGGATTTTGGGCAGCGTGCCACAAAAATAAAAACCCACAAAAATAAATAAAACCTAAACCCGCACAAACACATTAGACTAAAGATGATCCAAGGTGAGTCGAACAAATTGAAGCAAGAGTCCTAAAATATTAGAATACATTAAACTCCTGCCCAGGAGCAAAGCACGGTCCACAAATTGTGAAATTCAGGCATTATGACTAACAAAAGGGAGAGAGCAAGATAATCTTGAAGGAAAGAACTCAACTATATAAAACGCTTAATCATGACAGGAATGTCAAAGCTTCGGGGCTAAAGTTTTGACTATATCTCTCGTCCTTGATTGCAGCTAAGAAAATAAACTTCAAGAACCCTCAAAGTAAAATCAAGGATTTTTTTAAAAAAGTAATTATTTGAAAAGTTGCATACCTCCCAAAGCGAAAAGCATGTGGCCGAACGGTGGCCCGCTATCATCTATGAAAAATATCCGCTTCATGTACAAGGAGAGGAACTGGCCGTAGTAAACTTCATCAAAACTGGAATAATGCAATAAAATAATAGAGGAAAGAGGGAGGGACAGAGAGAGATAGAGAGATTTCTCATTAAACCCCTCAAGGAATTGAATTCGTCACCCTAACAGAGAAACTCACCGGATTTCAGTTAAGTGTGAAAAATGCTGGAATGGCCATTAAGTGTGAAAAATAGTTTGCAAGTGAATCACTGCAGTTGTTAAATTTGTAACATGGCTGTTAAGTGATCCACTTAACAACCGTGTCATAAAATGAGGCAAAACTGACTTTAGCAACATAGTCTCTCTCTCTCTCTCCCCCTCGGCAGTTGAAATTTTGGACTGAATTATGTCCACAAGTGGCAAAGTACCTTGCATATCCTAAACACAACGTAGCATGAAGCCAAATCGCGGTTTAATTCTGTTAATCCATTCAGCTACCATTCCGTCAGAGTGTAAAAGATATCCCAGCTCCATTGTGCAAAATGACAGCTTGATTAATGTTAATCTCAAATTTGTTTTCCAGGCTTTTTCACACTCCAAAAGCTGGACTGAATAATAAATAGTTTATGTGCCTGCATTAAAAGCTTCTAAAAATGCAATGGTGAGGTTTTGCGCAGACAGTCTTTATAAATAGACAGAGAGAAAAACTTTCTTTTTAATCCCTGGAAGAGCCATTGTCAATACGGACATTTTCAGTCTGCTAAATCCATGGTATCCCCATATATTAGAATATGTTTACTCACACTACGGCTCTGGGATAGGACAGAGCCCACAGCCGGCTGATTAATCCAAGTGCAGTCAAAACCACCAGGTTGACATTGATTTCCACCGAAAAGACAATTGGCTGCTTTAAGATTCCAAGCATTTTTCAGAATGATCTGGTGGTATCTTTAAAAAAAAGGGGGGGGAGGAATTGGTCCCATTCAGAAAATAAATAAATCTGGCACGCTCTCAAACTGTTGGAAAAGTTATGTTATTCAGACCAGTCAGCTATCCACTGATACAGAGAGATAAACCATGTTTCCCCACCATTCAAAAAAACCATAAAAATATAAGAAGGAACGACCAAAAACATCCCCTCCAGCTGCCAACGCTTAAGCAGGGATGAACTCCAGACAATCCAAGCAGAGAATAATATCTTAATTGAAGAATTACCAAGGAGAAAATCCCTACCATACTGGCAGGGCAAAGCTACTGTATACAAGAGAGCAAACCCCACACTCACTAACACTGGTGATGTAACCTAGTAAGGTCATGAAATGTCTGCAAGGAAACAACCAAGCTCAGAGAGTAGCAAGGAGCCCACAGTTTAACCCTGAGCTACAGGAACTTGATAGGTGAACCAAAAAGCCAATACAATCCTAAATTGCATTAACAGAGGGATACAATCGAGATCGAGGGAGGTACTAATACCACTCTATAAAGCCTTAGTAAGACCACACCTAGAGTACTGCATCGAGTTTTGGTCACCACACTATAAAAATGTTGAGACTCTAGAAAGAGTGCAGAGAAGCGCAACCAGGATGATGAGGGGACTGGAGACTAAAACATAGCGGACTGGAGATTAAAACATATGAAGAACGGTTTGCAGGAACAGGGCCTGGCTAGTCTGGGGAAGAAGAAAAGGATCAGGGGAGACATGATAGCAGCCTTCCAATATTTGAGGGGCTGCCCCAGAGGGGAGGAGGGGGTCAAGATATTTTCCAAGGCACCCAAAGGCCAGACAAGGAATAATGGATGGAAACTGAACAAGGAGAGATTCAACCTGGATACAAAGAGAAACTTTCTGACAGGGAGAACAATCAACCCATGGAACAGAAGTTGCCTTCAGAAGTTGTGGGAGCTTCATCACTTGAGGCTGTCAAGGAGAGACTGGACTTCCATCTGTTAGAAATGGTGTAGAGTCTCTTGCTTGGGCAGCGGGTTGGACTAAATAACCTACAAGGTCCTTTCCAACTCTGTTAATCTAATCTAATCTAATCTTAAAATCCAGTCTAAACATCTGGCTGACTGGGCGACCAACCATACTATCAACCATCAGCCTTGACCCCTCGGTCCATTGCAAAAGGCAGCTTGACTCATTGGAATAGCTTATATATCGCGCAACAATGCCTTGAGCACACCGCACATCGACATTGGAGCGTGCAAACTCTCCAGCAATTATTCTCTCTGCTTCCATACCTTCCCCTATTTTGCACCAACCCCTGCTCTTCTTTTGCACCCCGCGTCCGTCCCAAAGGCTGATAGGCACGCCAGGAAGAAAGAAAAAGTCTAAATCTGATCAAGAATACCCGGGGGGAATTGCTTTAACTTTCTTTTCTGATTATTTCGAGAAACTCACCCGATTCCCTTTACTTCTGGCTCGCCTGCTTGGTTCAATATGCGTAATTTATATTCCCCCCCTTTTTTTCCCCTAGAATGAGCTCGCCTTCGTACCGCTCGCTGTTCAGGCGGCGCAGATGGGACGCACCAATTCTAAAAAAGGGGAGGGGAAGGAGGAGGCGAACATATGATCCGCTCCGCTCGCCTCTACTGTGGAGAAAGCAGGAAGACAGGACCGGAGGTGACATCACAGACCCGGACAGTTGCCATAGGAACAAGAAACCATAGAGGAGTCCATGTCCTATTTTTTTTTTTATTTATTTATTTATTTGATTTGCCAATTGTTTACAAGATAATAAGTATAAATGTATACATAGTTGTGAATACATGAAATGGGTACATATAAGAAAAATAAAAGAATAAGAGAAACAATAGGACAGGGACGGTAGGCACGTTGGTGCGCTTATGCACGCCCCCTACATGCCCCTTTCCTGGGTCTACTTGCAACCTGGTTGCTTTCCTTGGAAACTACACTCCCCAGAATTCCTAGCCATGTGCAATGCCATTTTTTCTGATTTGGATATTATAGACACCAGTCATAAGCGATTTTTACAATATTTTACACAATCATAATGCTAGAATGCATAAGCGCACCAACGTGCCTACCGTCCCTGTCCTATTGTTTCTCTTATTCTTTTATTTTTCTTATATGTAACCATTTCATGTATTCACAACTATGTATACATTTATACTTATTATCTTGTAAACAATTGGCAAATCAAATAAATAAATAGAATCAGGCCAATGTTGCCAGATGTTTTACACTAAATCCCTCTCTGCAAATCTATTTGCATTACCCAATTTCTGTACCCATTACCCAAATTCGCAGCTGAGCAAATGCCCACCTCATAAAGTGACCCTAATGAAATTTATTTTGAAATTATTTATTTCTTGTGCAGGTATCACATTCACCCTAGTGAAATCTTGCTTTGACACGAACAAATTGCTAATT